AATAAAATAAAATAAAAATCTTATGAGGGATTCATAAGATAAACATATAAAAGGCAATTGCTTCTAAAAGTATTAGAAAAAACTAAAGGTAAGTAGTTTCATAATCTAGGGTTACAAAAGTCTTTTAATGTATAGTATGAAAGTAGAAACTTTAAAGGAAAAGACTAATAGATATGACTATGTAACTTCCATTTGGGGGTGGGAGGGACAAAAGCTCATTAAAGAAAAATAGGGAAAACATCTTTGTACTTGCTTGTGCTCTTTCTTGCTCTCTCAATACACACAAAAATGTACACATGTGAATTCTGGTTGACATTCTTAATACAGATAACTCTTATGTATGAAAAGAAAAAGACACCACAGGAAAACCTATCAAGATGCAATTCACAAAAGAAATAGGCCAGTTAATATATTAAAATGTATCCAACCTTCCTAGTCTTCTAACAAACGCAAATTAAAAGATACTTTTTTGATTATCAGATTGGAAAATTTTGACTCAACTCTCAAGGCTGAAGGGAGAATTTAACAATCAATATATATCCACAAAATATGTTAAATTACAAAAATAAAATCAGTAGGAGTAATTTGCAAAACCACCAACATCCAAAGCCTAAATATTAAGGAAATATTATTAACTATAACATAAATTAGGTTTTGAAAGAATGCCAGTTGTGTGAATGAGAAAAAACTGTGAGGGAAAGACAGTAACTACTGTAATTTATTTTAAATTTGATAGCAGGCTAACTATGAAATACCATGTCAATCCACAACAGAAGTTCCTGTAATTACCCACCCATCCGATTCCATTTTTTTTTTTGAGGTGGAGTCTCACTCTGTCACCTGGGCTAGAGTGCCATGGCGTCAGCTCACAGCAACCTCAGACTCCTGGGCTCAAGCGATCCTCTTGCCTCAGCCTCTGGAGTAGCTGGGACCACAGGCGAGTAGTCCCTGGCTAATTTTTTTTCTATTTTTAGTACAGACAGGGTTCTTGCTCTTGCTCAGGGCTCAGGCTGGTCTCGAACTCCTAACCTCAAGCAATTCTCCTGCCTGGGCATCCCAGAGTGCTAGGATTACAGGCATGAGCCACCACACCCAACACCCAGCCCCCAACCCCCAGCTTCCTTAATTCCTCAGCCTCACCTTCTTCACCCAGTAACCTCCCTGCAAGACAACACTTCTAACTTCAAGTCCTCTTCCTTCAAAAGTCACACCTTTTCTCCCCACCCTATCAAGTCTTCCATTATTATGCTTAACCTGTCCTCCAGCTGCTTTTTCTTAATCTTAATGTGAGGAGTCTTTGGACTCCTCACATCCATCCACTTACTCTTCCAATAGCTCTAGGATAGACCATAGTTTTCAGTCTAGTTTCAAAGGCACCCCCAAGTATCATTGCCTAGCAGCCATCATTGCTGCCCATCTCATTTAGAAATATAATTATTATCGTCAGATGTGATTTACATTTTTAAGTAAACTCTAGGGGCAATATGAGTTAAACCAAATTTTTATGGGTTGTATTTTTAAAACATTTATATGGTAAAGTCTCTGGCTGGTTTCGAACTCCTGAGCTCAAACAATCCGCCCGTCTCGGCCTCCCAGAGAGCTAGGATTACAGGCGTGAGCCACCGCGCCCGGCCGTGATTTACATTTTTAAGTAAACTCTAGGGGCAATATGAGTTAAACCAAATTTTTATGGGTTGTATTTTTAAAACATTTATATGGTAAAGTCTCTTCCAAGTTCCGAGCTACTGACTTACAGCGATGTTATTTATTAACAATGTATATTAGACACTGTAAAAGGAGCTGGGGATGACAAGAAATGGTCCCTTTTCTTTAAAAAGTCACAAATAAGTGTAAGAAACAAATCCTTTTATAAAATGTGAAAACTGCTAGTGTAAAAAAAATGCTAGAGTAGAGGTATGTACAAAATACCATGGGAATACGACATGAGTTATCAGCTCTGCCTTAAGTGCTTAGGAAAGAAAGTTTTGTAAAGGAAGTTGCATCCGAGCTGGGTCTTGAAGAGTTGGAGATTTAGGAAAGAGAAAATGCGGTATTCCCAGGAAGAATGAGAAGTATACAGAGCGGCTCAGATGCTTAAAAAAGCAGAGTTTATTTGTGGAACAGAAAATTTCTCTGTTGCAGGAGTGTCAGGGGCTGTCTGTGAGCATGGTAGGACAGGTAGTTAAAAGTAGAGGAGAATTTATAAAGAGAATTATTTGTTATGCAAGAACTTTTAGACTTTATCCAGGGAGAATAATTAGGAAGTTATTCAAGGACTTCTTTTTAGGTGAATAGCAGAAGATACATGTTTTAGAATAACTATGACAGAGGATCATATA